GTGGTGGTCAATACCACTATCAAGTTGATTGCCAAAGTAAAAAAAAATCATTAATGACATTTGCATTCATAACGTTAATCATTTTGAAAACGAAATATAATGAAAATTGATGACATACATATCCTTACTTCAGCCACAGACCAGCTGAAGCACACGCAGAAGCACATGCAGCAATGACATCATGACGGTAATATTGCATGGGGGTTGTCTTCCAGGCAGTGATGTAATGAGAGTAATGACTATTTCCTAGCACCATTGTGCCAACAGCATTGACATTCATATTTCCTTGGAAATATTTGCTTTTACGTCCCTTTGAATTGTACTACAATTGCAGCCTGCTGGACTTAATAACAAATTGTTCAAGTATATACAGGTAGTCCTCTACTTATGATGGATATGCGTTACGACGACCCCATCGTAAGTAAAAAAATATCGTAAGTCGAAGATGGCCTAGCCTACCCAAGAGTCTTAAAAGAATGGTGATAATTTAGCAAAACATAGCAATTTACAGTACCATACTGTATAAACTATATACTGTATAAACTATATACTGTATGTATTTATGTATGTTTTATCGTACGCTGCTGCGTTTGCCTGCCACGCGAAATTTAAAATATTTGACAATTTTGTCGTATCGCTATCGCCATCGTAAGATCGAAATAGTCGGACCATCGTAACTCGGGGACTATCTGTAAATGTGTCGTTTAACCTGTCACCACCCACCCGACACAGGCAATTAGTAAGGTTTGTCACGTAAACAGAACATGCCAATTCGTTACTAGTACAGCACACCGGTGTGTTGGAGAGCAAAGCCAATTTACAATCTGAGTACGTTTCGCAAGTAATTACAACTAGCTTCATCAGGCGACAGCCAGATTTGGGGAGAAATCCTGTTTCGTTCCTTAAATAGAGGGGTAGATGTGATAACATTTGTGTGCTCTTCTTGCTCAAAGTGGGGGGAGGGGGGGAAGGTGTCACGTGGCATCATGTGACACCACTTTTGTGATCCCAAACAATATATCTGATCTGAAAAACCCCAAAAGATCTGACTTGTTACTGAGAAATCTGAAAACCGAAATTTTAAGATCTATAACTCATGCCAAGCACATTTGCAGAGCATGCTAGTTGGCTTATACAAGTAAAATGAAAGATGAGCATTGAAATATTGACAAGGAGTGGGACAGACACAACACTTAAAATGTTCATCAAATTCCCATTATCTGCATTTACCCATGGATTTAGGATGTTTCCACAAGCACATCCCATTGTCTGTTTTCACGGATACATATATTTACTTCTCTTCGCTCCCTGTGGAGCATAAGGCCGCAACAAGCCCACGACATTCTGGACGGTCTTTAGCAGCTTTTTCTGCTTCACCCCAAGACAGGCCCATGGTCTTTAGTTGTATTCTATTAAGGTGTGTTATTGCTTCAAACGGTTGGTGTGGATGCTTAATTGATAATATGATTACGGAATGAGGATGTTCATAATGTGAATAATTGCTTCTACTGCGGATGCTGCTACTTGTCAATTATTTATCCAGGTAAACATTGTAAAATCTAAAGACTCTTTTGAATGAATGATTTTAAACGTGGTGTATCTGGAGAAAAGTCAAGTACCTGTATATGAGGAAATAACTCACGTACTCATTTTACTTTATTGCTATTTTCTCCCCATCTGAACACCGAATAGGTGCTTGCTAACAACACTTGCCCCAACAGTCTGTTAGGCTATACGGGGGATCTTGCACTGTGGTTCTTCATGTAAGGTACGTGTTACAGATTTTGTATTATTTCTTTAAAAATTATAATTTGCATTTCTCGTGTTAAAAAAGTTGTTCAAGAGTGGAACGTTTTGGGGCTGAAATGTAGCTCAGCTTTTAACATGAGAGTTGATGGGTAAACGATGATCGTTTCACGAGTTTTTACTTACCAAGTAATTTTCGCAATAAACGTACATCACTCATTAAGCGAGACATGCTTGTACTCCTAGGGCATGGCACTTCTCTACATCGGTTTCTCGAAAATTTGTTGATGACATTTATTCAACATCTCTTCAGTACCAGGATCCCTGCCTTGCAATATTTGAGTTTTTTTTACTTTATTATGACCACTTCTAAGTTATTTATTCTACAACCCTTCAGTTTGTTCCTATTTAGATAATGATCCCATGTTTTAGCATGTTTTAAAATTATTTTTCCGAGACTTGTTATTTTCTTCCTTTAAAAGAGAAACTGGCTGAACCACCACTCGTAAACCTCCAGGACATCCTCCTCTAAACAATCTGCACATCAGCTACTCTGAAACCATTCTAAACCTTAATTCATATAAATCCTCTTTACAAAAGGGATTTTCACTGGAGAGGTGACTGGGTGGCTAAGAGCACCGAACTGGCACCGCTGAGATCCTGGGTTCAAAGCCAAGCAGCTTCCTGTGATTAAATTGGGAACTCGGGTGTCGTGAGTTGATGGTCTCAGCCCAGTCACCAATGACTGCACAAAACACCAAATCCCATTAAATTTAGTTCTGCACTTAATTTTTCTAAATTCCAGCTTTCAGAATGATAATATTGGTTTGACTGTCACGTGACAAACCTCATTCATAAAAACACAACACATTTGTCAATAAACCTGCATTATAAATATATATATAATAGGCGAGATTTTGGGAACTGGCACCTTCTTCATAGTAGATAGAGGCCAGAGAGATAGCGTTAGTACGGGTTGGAGTAGGTTTGACCAAACTCCGTCCTCATGACCCATCACTTTACATCTTTCCGCGTTTACCAATGTACTCCCATTCAAATTAACTTGTCCAACGCTGCACGCGTCAGATGATGATTAAATACGTCCCACGTGACGTGCTAAGCAATTAACGCTGTCTACGTTAATGTAGACGACTCAAATTAAGATTGAGATATCAGTATGCCTGTGTGTACACATGTTTCAGGTGACGCAGACAGCGTTAATTGCTTAGCGCATCACTGGGGACATGTTTAACAATCACTGAGCGTGCAGACTGGAATGGTTAATATGTATTTGAATGATTGGAGTTTGGGAAATACTGGGTTGGGGTGCACTTAACATCACGTTTTGGGCCTTTAGGCCTGTGCTAAGAAACTGTGTGAAACTGTCGAAAAGGTGTTGCTTCATGGGGAAAACATAGATCAGATATTGAAATATACGAAGGCATCTATCAAGTGAAAGTCTAATGACAATAATTTATCTGTGGTCCTAAAAGGAAACTAAAACGAGATGATGCTATAATGGTTATAACATCATCTCATTTTTGATAAAGACAGCAGATTGGCACAAAAGGGGGCACGGCGATGTTGAATAATCCTTGCCAGGACCTTTTTCCATTCCACTGAGGGAAATGTCCCAGTATTTATTATGATCTGTACAGTCACCCCTCTGAAAGAAGGGGGCCACCAGGGCATTATTCCAATCCTGCGAACCTGTTTTGTGGTCCAGACATTTGTGATTGTCATATAGAGCAGTCTGCATATAGACCCCACCCTTCCTCAGCAGTTCGCTTGGGAGTTTATCTTGGTCTCAGACTCTGGATCGCCCCTCGTACTTCCTCAATAGAAGGCACCTCATCTAGCCACTCACAAGGGGTGACTACTTCCAATATTTGAGGCACTTCAGTCCAGCAGGGTCGTTCCCAATTTGCCCCATGGTGTTATCTGAGCTGAGGGATTTTCCCTCCCCAAAAACCTCACAGAAATTATTTTCAAATATACAGACCTGTTCCTGGGGGTTGGAGATCATATCGCCATTTTTCCCTTAAAGGATGGTGATAGGTGTGGCGCTATAAGTGTCTTTGTTAATGGAATAAAAGAGCGATTTGTGATTGCGGGCTACCATGGTAGATTCCAACTCATCAGCAACCTGTGACCACCACGCATTCTTGCAGTGCCACACGGCTCTCCGAACCTCCGAGTGAAGGCTGCGGTAAGCCTCCTCATTCTCCGATGTGGGATGTTGTAGACGGTGGAAGTGGGCCTGTTGCTTTCTCTCAGCAAGAGTCTCTGTGGAAGGTTTGGACTGTGTACCAAATGCAGGCATTGCAGCTGCATGAGCCACAGTCCTGAACCTCATCCATTCCCCAGGCACACATAGACAACAAATACAAAGACCCCCCGTATAGCCTTAACAAACGGTTGGGGCAAGTGTTGTTAGCAAGCATCTGTGAAGGTCAGCATGGCACACGAGGGGGTGGGTGGCCAACAACGCCCGGCCGTCTTTATCTTCTAGTGGCGATGTTTCCACACTTGCATCAGGTACTCATTTGAGGCTAAGTCGACCTAGGGGAGGCTTAGGACCGCTCCAGATAATCGTTACTGGTGTTGGTTTTGAGCTGCCATTGAACTGAGGTTGCCGGGTTCGTAGCGCAGCTCGCTAACCGTTGCACTACCACAAACACACACACAGACGTCAACATAGATCAAATAGACAGATACATGGACATTGAAATTAACACAGTAGACAAAGAAATAAAAATACGAAATAGACGTACGAACAGATGCCACCCGAACAATTACCAATTAAACATATACACACGAAACACACACACATCTTCCCGTTCTTAGTTAATTGGCCAAGCCAGGTACTCCGCACGAGTATTTGAACCAGAGCCTCACGCATCTGCGGTTCTTATTGAGTCATGACAGACGTCGGGCACACGTAGTGATCGAGCGGAGAGCGACATGCAATTTTCGAAATTCTACATGTCCATGCCAGCACCAAGTCGGCTTGTAATAGCATATCACTGGAGAAAGAGGTGCGTGTTCTACACACATGATCATCTTCATCATCAGCCATGAACAGTCCACTTAACAATGAGGGGCCCACATGTTTTGTTTCTGTATGCCGGGAAGATCAAGCAAGGTCAAAATTATACTGAAAAAAGCATCATGCCAATCAGTAAATTGCCTTCCTTCAGAGCAGAAAGGGCACAGAGAATGAGACTGGCTTAGAATTGGATAATGATTTTTAATGTTTTTAGGATTTTTTTTTACCATTACAGAACAGAATGGGTATTTGGGTGATTAGTTCCAGTGTACACTCTGGTGGAATGTTCTGTGTAACATGATTTTTTTAAATCAACATCTTCACAATGATTACAATGGTTACGACAGTTAGAACAACATAACTATTAATTTTGGTTTATATTTATTTTATTATCATCTTTTACAGTGCGATAAACAATCTTATAATGTTAATGTCATTTTTAATTGTTAGAAAATGTAAAAATGAATACAATTGCAATTGTAATGCTGATGAGAATGTAACACGATGTCAAAAATCCACAACACAGCCTAATGTAAATAGTTGAAATATTAAAATAATACCATCAGGATATATATTCTTTTATAATTTGTTTATCTAATTTTTAAGAGAAACAATATACTTTTCAATGTAAAATTGAAATTAGTACCTTTGTGTAACAACTTTTTAGTCACTTAAAATTATATAAACTACTTATAACATCAAGATAACAAGTTTATTAAACAAATTCATAAATTCCACATATTGAGTACCATTTTAGTTAAACCTGTAAGCAATGAGGCTCATATACAGCAGTTGAATAGAGTTAATAATGAAACCCCAAGAGGAAGCTTGCATCCAAAAAGTCTCTTCATCAAAGAAGTTCAATGCATTTAAATCTTGAAACAGTATCAATTTGAAACATTTAGTGGCTTGCAAGCTGTCATTTTTAATAGGCGAAAACGATAGGATCACAGCATCCGCATGTTAATCTTCGTTGGAGTCTTTGGTTGGCTGACAGTTGCAGCACTCGAGTGTCTGGGTGCAACATCAATGTAGATTGCTGTGTGCCGGTAGCGACCCTTGCCCTTGCTCCAGATACAGAGCAGGAAAAGGCAAAGCAGCACCACACCCAGAAAGGAGCAGCAGCCCATCACTATAGCCATCACCACAATTTTAACATCGAATACCAACTTTTGGTAGGTGAACAATGTGCCATTGCGAGAGTAGCTGGAATAGTTCAATTGCTGTGGGTCGCTACCATTGGAAAGTGGGCCGGCATCGTGTTCAATCTTGCGCACAAAAAGTGTGACAGTGTAGCTATCAGTGCCACCCGCATTTGTAGCTACACATGTGTAGGTGCCTCCATCCTGTGTCTGTGCATAGCGCACCTCGATAGAACCATCGGCTGTGACGAGCAAGCGACCCACACTTCTGCTCAGCAAAACTTTGCGCTGTGGAGAAACCCAATGGATGCGTGGCGTAGGGTCACCCTCTGCCTGACATGGGAAGCGTACTGAGTGCCCTTCCATGACAATGTAATGCTCGGGCTCCTTCTCACGAATGCGCGCTCGCTGGCATGTGAAATGATTTGGCAGCAAAATTTCTGGAAAATCCTGCCGAGAAAAGAGAAATGTATATGAACAAAATCCATGGTTAGGTTATATACAAATACGGTACATTGTAAATCAATGATCTTCAATCTACAATGAATGAAATTCACTGATTTTTGCATGAAGCAATACAAAATAAATTAGCAGATGTTTTGAATATTTGTATTTTATTTTTAAACTCAATTAGCATGGTTGCATATGTACGGCGCAAACGAAGTTCACCATACATTTAAAATATATTGTAACTCATGTTTGTAATACTGCTGTAATAAAACATTCTGGTATTTCTCTACACCACAAGCAGTGTGAATCACAAGCAGCGCTGTCATGTTCCAACCATTGTTATCTGACCTTGGAATGATTCACCCCCCCTCACCACAAAACCCAGGGATTATTGCAATTCAAAATAAATAATTATTCGTACATCAATGTAAATTTTAGTGCTGTTCGTGGCTGCAGGAATAAAGTGAAACCTATTACATATTGCTCTATGTCAACCCATTGCGAGATGAAGGCCTCCTCATGCCATGTTGGGTTGTGGTCATTGTGAGTTGGAGAAGATACAACATATGTGATTTTTAAAGTATTTTATACAAGTGATTTCGCGCATTACTGTGACCTTATGATTCAACATTAATTTATGGAACAATGCACTATTCCACTACTGACAGTATACATTGTGATTACTCCTGTCATCTAAGGCCGAATGTCCAATACTCCACATAAATCGATCCTATAAAATTATATGACCTATGAGTGAAGTATTCCTATTGTCCGTGTTATTCTATAGATAATAAGAGTCACTCAAGGGTAGTGAAAAATGTATACTGCAGTAGTCCCTCGGCTAACGGTTTTTCGGTTAACATTTTGCCTCCCCCATGGTTTAGACTAACGTGAATTTTTGATTAATGGTGTGTTTACGTTATGCATGCTGGCACCAATATTGGCCAATCCGAACGCCCATAAGTGGGCTGAGCATGCCCAAAGCCAATCAGCGACGCCCTTTTATGAGCGTTTAGATTTCGACTGGCTATGTTTACATTGTTTTCTCTTTTGACAGTGGAAACAGCTCTCTTACAGACTCAGTGGTTTTTACTTGTTTTTCAACTTATAAGTGAATTCTATTAACAGTTATTTCAGTTCACAGTTTCATGGAACGGTTTAAAAACGTTAACCGAGGGAGTACTGTATTCATATTTGATCTCTCCATGACGCACCCGGAATTCTATTCCAGAAGCACAACATTCCTCCTTTGCATGAACTAGAGTAGTCATCTATAAGTGGTGGCAAATTAGCCCTATTAACTGCATTTATCTACAGATAATTGTACAAATAATTTTGACTTAAAACTTTCGTGACTGCAGGAATTCATATTCTATGGTTCTTTCAGTAAAGTCACGTGGATAGAAAAAAAGAGTAATAAAAATAAAGTGAATACAAATATCACGACGTTTTGATCACAACACAAGCGGTCATTCGGCAAAGGTGATGACGACCGCTATTTTTATTCACTTTATTTTTTTAAATTATTTTTTCTATCTACGTGACTTTACCGAAAGAAACATATAATATGTACAAATAATGTATGTGGATAAAGACGGATAATCAGACCTACCAATAACGCCGTCTACATCAATCTTGTTTCACGGAAGTGAATTACTGTATATTGTATATAAATCGCGTACTATTTATTCAGTTGTATGCTCAGCACTCAAGGCAGCCGACACTCCCCATCTCCATGTTCAAATAATAACATGGAAATGTAAGAGAAAAAAAACATGCCACAGTAATGTTTCATACAATGTCTCTGCATCCGAGCAAAGTCAGATTGACTCACACTCTGTAGATGTTTCCTGCATTGTGTTGGCATATCAACATTTTTCTAAAAACATGAATTGAGACGAAAGCAAAACCTTGAGCAACAAAAATGGATAAACACATGTATTAATAATGTAAAGTATATAAATATTTAAAATATATGAAGAAATTTGAGAGCACAGAACTATATCATGGGAGAACGATAAATAATAGCCGTTTTTAAAAAAAAAAACTGTTTGTGGCATGAACTAGCAACCAACAGCAGTTTTTTTGTCACTTTCATACTAATAACAGGTTATCAGATTCCCATCTCACCAATAATTTATCAGGCTGTGCCATTACTGGCACCCGCACCTCCGATTTCCCGCACCTCTGATTAACACGGTTGGCTACGAACAGTGCGAAGGAAGTTAAACACACATACTAGCAAGGCTGGTAAAGTTAGAGTGGCCAGGGTGATATGTAGGTGTGCCGAGATGAATTTGCATGTTCAACATATTTCAATTTGTGCTAGCACTCAATGTGGGTGTTTGTTAATTACCGGAAGTTTTGACCTGCAGGGAATTTACACCAGAGGATCACAGCAGCATACAGGTAAGTGACACAAGCACCACAAGCAACAAATGTGGGCCTCAGGGACACAGCCAACCTCCCAGCTACTCCCACCCACCCTGCTCCCTCTCTGCCCTCTCCTCACAGTGAGCTCCCGCTGTGTTACCACCCGTTATGACTGTTGTGAAGGCAGGCCTAGTTTGTTTTTAATAGTGTGGTACCTGGGTGTGGGTTCCCCTCTGCAAGCTCGACGTTGCAGAGCAATGCATTACACTTAGAAGTGCATAGATGCAGATATGAACCTTGCAGCCATGGCCAATCATGTGTGGGTTGAGCTCAGGCATCATCTTACTGCATAACACAAGTATGGGGTCCACCCCTCGCAGATGATTGGCTGCCAAGTAATACTCAACAGGGGCACCAGCGTTATCCTCCAGTTATGAACAGAGATGAGAATCCAGTAGTAAGCACCGGCTGTTATCCATAGCTGGGTACTAACTTTGTGTGATTTCCCAGCAGAGAAGGAATGTATGGCCAGCATCCATTGTGTTAAAAAAAGCAGATTAAAGCCATTTGTTAAGTAATTTGTATTACCAATGGATTACCTAAGACATTCACATTTGAAAATGATCTGCAGCATGAAGTGATTATATTCATGCTGCAGAATATTTGCAAATTATAGTGAAAAGATTATTTCTGCAATAAATGTTCAAATATTTACTCATGCTAAATTACTAAATAACTGCACAAGTAATATGGTTGTACTCTCATATTTTTAAAAGCTAGTTTTATTTTGATTTAGCCATTTATATACGATGTAACTTTGCTGACGTCGCAACTCTCCCAACCATACACGCCTGTACATACAATTACATCTCTCAAAGTCATACTAAAGGGGAAGAGAGTATTTTCAGGCATGGGAGCTGCAGCAGAGGAAGAACCACCATTCAGTGTTGTCGAAGTTGACTAGGGGTTTTCACTTAAGGCCTAGGCTGCTAGAGCAGGGAACATGTGAATGTAACAGGTTGGTAGGAGCAATGATGAATACAAGGAGTCCAATTTTGAACAATATTTGGCAAGAGTTATTAACAATGAGTCGGTCATATATGAGGTCTGATGATTTGATGATGATGACATCACTGATGACTTGTCTCATGTTCCTCCCACATGGTTGCAGATCCCATTTGGTTGCATGATATTGCACGACCTTAAGGTGGTTTGATAGGTTTTTTCCCCCAAAATATATGCAATACAATGCTGATAGAATTCACTTTTAGATTCCACAAGCCCCAAGACAGGCTCAAAAGCATGACTCCCACCAACTCGCATATCTTCCCCAATTGTCCCAGTCATAACAGGTCACTAAAACTGGGTAATAAATCTGTGTAAATAATGACAGCCTACCTAGACTATTTGTGTTGTGTAAATAATAACACTTCCAGTGTGTGTCCTGCCGTGTGTGTGGGCTGATTGACATGTTCCATCCAGTCGTATGCGGCCAACAAGTCCATGGAATTTTTAGGAAGATCATTCAACTAAGTTAATATCTAATGTCGTGTTAAGAGGTGTAAAGAGGATAAGATAATGATGAATAGCAAATACAATTTCACGTAGAGTTGGGCAGCAATATTACAATTTAGAATGAGGCCAAAACAGGGAGAGATTAGAGTTGTGTTTCAGATGAGACAAGGCTTCAAAGAAGTTCAACATAAATACATATCAGTTTAACACGTACATACATACATATAAAATGAGATTAAGGTTCTTTGTTGGATGAGATGAGGGTTCCATATTGTAATGGCTTTATTATAAGGCAGTTACCTGTAAAACATGGCTTCTCTCTATAAAATAAAACTTCATATGGGGGTCCTCTCGACCCTTGGTATATATAATACATGTGTAGTGGGTTCGAATTAGGTGCACACACACACAGCTTGGAGGCAACACTATTTATTAAACGGTAAGTAATATAACACCGTACATGAGGTGGTGACCACCTTCCTCAACTCACTAACACTCTGGAACACGACACAGAGCGGACCAGGCAGGCGACGAACTGCCTGGTCCAGGACGACGACCTGGGACTTGAGGACCGATGATATCGTCTTCACTTCGGAGTTCAACAGCCTCGCTCTGCGTTCGCACCACGCTTATATCTGCTCTGGCGTGGCCGGCTCCGCCCAGGCCACGCCTCCCTTCCCAGGCCATGCCTCCCTTCCCAGGCCACGCCTCCCTTCCCAGGCCACGCCTCCCTTCCCAGGCCACGCCTCCCTTCCCAGGCCATGCCTCCCTTCCCAGGCCACGCCTCCCTTCCCCCACCTCACGGGAGGTCTGGGTCCCTCCACCACGTGACCCCCCAGGCACCCCCTTGGGCCTCCCAGCCCTCGTACGGGCCGACACAGTAGTGACGTCCTATGTCACTACACATGTTTTGCCTCGCAGCATTCACGTGTCCCCCCAGTAATGTCTTCCCAATTCCAGCCCTTCAGGTATCTACGTATTTATGAAGTTGTTTCAAGGCAATAACTTCAATATTTTTTTGTAGTTGAAATGGATCTCCCATTTTCACTATAAGAAACAGTGAAGAAATTATAAATATACCATTACAGTATTTAGGCTTTGGGTTGTGAGAC